ACAAATCAGCAAACCTTTCTACCCTTGATTTAGAACCTAATCCTCCTAATTACGCCAAAGCCCTTCTCACTCGTAACTCTTCAAAATGTCAAAAAGGAACATTTGAAGAATTTGACTCTTTTGCCGCCAATCATGTTTTTGAAATTGTTGACATCATTCCTAGTGGTCAAAAACCAATCACCACCTGTTTTGTGTACACGAGGAAGTTTGATGACTCTGGATTTCTTAACAAATTCAAAGCGCGATGTGTGGCTCGAGGTTATCTTCAAGAAGAAGGCAAAGATTTTGATGAAACTTTTTCTCCCACTGGTCGTCTCAAGACTCTTCGCGCTGTATTTGGACATGCGGCATCTGAAGATCTTGACATCGTTCAGGCTGATTTTGAAACAGCTTTTCTTAACTCTGAGCTTGGTGAAGGAGAAGTAGTATATATTATGATCCCAGATGGATTTGTCGACTGGGTGAAACAACTTCCAACATTATCCCCCTTTCGCGCCTGGCTTCCAGCTCTCATATCTCGCTGCGGTTCTTTATGGCTCAAATTATTACGATTGCTTTATGGTTTGAAACAGGCTTCTCGGAGTTGGTATCTCACAGTCAAAACGTGGTATTATAAACATGGATTTGTGGTTAGTGATGCAGATGCTTGTCTATTTGTGTACTGTGGTAGTAATCATGAAAGAATTTTGATCTATATGTGGGTGGATGATATTTTCGTTGTTGGAAAAGATGTTCGCTGGGTGCTTGATGCTTTAAAAGGTGATTATCGAATTAAGGATTTGGGTCCCGTAAAGAATATGTTGGGAATGCAGATCACTCGTAATTGTGAACAAAAAACTCTCTCTATATGTCAATCAAAATACATCAAGGAACTACTTAAAGTATATGGCATGGAAGATTGCAAGCATTTAGGAACACCTCTTCAATCTAATCTACCTATTTTACCTGGCACTGAAGATGAAGTCAATGAATTCAAGCTTAGTGGACTCAACTATCGTCGAGCTATTGGGTCACTCAATTATCTCTCTCAATGCACTCGCCCTGACTTATCTCATCCAGTCAGTCTTCTTTCTCAATTTCTTGAAAAGCCTACAATGGCGCATCGGGGTCACTTCAAAAGGGTTCTTTGTTATTTACGTGGCACCAGTACTCTTTGTCTAACGTATGGGATTCAACCAATAAATGAGACTTTACTCAAATTTCAACTGAATCTTAGTGGACCTCCTGTAGCTTTCTCTGACTCTAACTGGGCTGGGTTTACAATCTCTCGAAGCTCTACTTCTGGATATACTTTTATTTTTAATGGCGGAGCCGTTAGTTGGCGATGTAAGAAGCAATCGACTGTGGCGCTCTCGTCTACCAAAGCAGAATACAAAGGATTTCTTGATGCTGAACAGGAAGGAATGTGGATAAGAAGACTTATGTCGGATTTTGGATATGATCAGCTAATTTCTACCACACTTTTCGGTGATAATCAAGGATCCATTGCACTTTCTCGCAATCCGGTATTTCACTCTCACACTAAACATATTGAAATACATTTTCACTGGATTCGAGAGAAGATTCAAGACAAAAGCATCAATATCAAATACTGTTCTACTAATGATATGGTTGCTGACCTCCTTACTAAATCTCTTGATAAATCTAAACTTCAACAATTTCAAAGAGACCTAGGACTAATTGATGCTGGGAGTTTAGCTAACAAGGGGGGGTTTTGTAATTGAATCTGGACCAGGCACTTACCTGTTTTAAACCTGACCAGATTAAATGTTTTCTTGTTGCGCTAAACTCATTTTAGTTTTAACCGTCTTAGCTCATTTGATGACAGACCAATTAAAGTGGCATAGTAATGATACAGTAAGTGGCGTATGGATAGAGATGGATAAATGAAATGGCTAGGAAAAAGGACTCTGTAGCGTGAATAGTGTGATATGTTTTGTAGGCCCGTATAAGACTTTCTGTTTGTATAAATAAAGCTTTATTGTAGCCTTGTATTTCTTTTCTCACTCATTCATTCTTGCTACTTCTCATTTTGTCCATCACCTTCCTAAACATTCTCCATCTACTTCACATCGTCAGGTGTGTATCTTTGCTTTGTTGTCGATTGAATCCAACAAAAGCTCTTAACTTACACTAGCGCTTTAGACCATATTTTTGGTTTTTACTGTTTTGCACATTACCCATTTAGGTGCATACGAAATTGTGTGTGTGAATAAGATAAACTAAATAATCTTGAAGGTGTTTTTTTTAATTTGAATAAGCAATCTTGAGGTGTGAGTTCATCAGTGTGTTCTCTGGGATCTTGGAAGAATTGTGAAAGTGTTTGATTTGTTGATCTTGAGTCGAGTCTTGAGTTATTGAGATAGTGTCTTGTTGTTGCTGAGCTGGTGTGAAGACGTTGGTCTTTATTTTATTATTATTTTTTTTATTTTGTTATTGGTGTCCCGGAGTGTGAAATCTTAAAACTACTCAGGGCCAACCCTGTGCGCCGGTTCAAACCCTTCTGGATTCCAACTTCATCAATTTATTCGAAACAATTATAAATTGTTGGCACCGGTCCAAGTACCCAAATTTTCTGGAAAATCCCCACCGCCGACTAAACCATCTCCCCCCTCTCCAATTGTAAAAGTACACTGCGGACTCAAAATCTGAAAGTAGTAAAAAATCGAAAATCACATAACTCTGGTTATGGAGGTTGTATAGGCGTGTACAGTACACCACCAGGCTCCGCCAGACCTTGCGCATCCATCTACGGGATAAACAAATTTTGACGGGAAAAATTTGTGAAGATAGAAAATTGTTAGATTGCTCTGGTTCTTTTCAAACTGCAACAAAAGGTCGAGGGCAGCTTCACCCCACCTGTAGTTTCATCCGCTCTCACGAGTGGTGATTCTTACCCTCTCCGGCTCAGCCTACGCTTCACTGCGTAGGAGTTCTACAACGTGAGATACACCATCACCGAAGCAGAGTTCTTTGTCTGTCGGAAGTATTACAACACGGGGGGACCCTCGGCCAAGGTCTATCCACAGGCGTATTACCAAAACAACGGCCCTTATGGGTATCATGAGCCGGGTTAATTGTGGTGATTACTTCAACTGGAGGCGACGTGCAAAGGAATATTTGGAAGCGCAGATCAGACTGGTGGGTTTGCCAGAGACAGGTGGGTATGGTAGGGGGTTGAAGGGATCAATAGGTTTCAAAAGGCACGCTTTGGTTGGCCTCTGGGGCATAAAAAGTTATTTGGTTGGGAATTGTTGTTTTGGGGAAAGACAAATATATTCGGTGCATTACTTATAGCCAGCATTGGCCTCCTGGTGCAAGGAGTGATCCGGGAGTCCGGGGATCATTGAATGTCTGACCTATGAGGACCTATGCCTCTGCCTCCAAACCACACAATGCGAGGTTCGAGAGCTCGGCACGGGCAATGTAGAAGACCATTTGGAGAGCCACAGACCTTTAATGAAGGTGAACATTTGCCCTAGTGTGCAAGCCAATTCCCGCCCGCGGGCCGGACGCATGTACCAATGCGTCCTTCCACAAGAAGGAGTCGCAGCCATGCACAGATTCTCGCGTTCCAATACGCTTGACAGTGTACCAAAGGATATCCACACTTCAAGACCAATATCCTGTCCCAAAAATAAGTAACTTATAAGCTTGCCATCCAACTCTTCCTATTGTTCAAATCTTGTCATTGCAGCTTATAAGCTTGCCATCCAACTCTTCCTATTGTTCAAATCTTGTCATTGCAGCTCATCATCATCATATCATCTCATATGATTGTGAACATTGTATTCTAAAATAATGCTATCGAAGGACCTAGCCAAAAAGGTGTCCGCAACCTATCCTGAAATATGGGAATCGATAACCTTAGCGCAGCTCACCAGCTCGCAACGCTGTTGGCGGATTTTATGAAAAGGACCAACAGTTCTTGCGACCCTCACCTATATCGTTCCCAATAGAATTCCTTGGAGAGAGCCTTAATTCCGCACAAGCTCACTCAACAAGGGCATTACCAAAGACTGAATATCTTGTGTTCTTTTTGGGAATTGGTAAATGTACGCTTGTGACCGGATGAGGCATGCTGCGTTGACTGCGCAGGAACTTTACAAATTGTGATCCGTCCGGGCGGCGGGCGGGAATTGGGAATCACAACTCTGCTGATGCTCACTAATGAAGGGAATTTCGACCCACATGGGTAGAACTGGGAGGATCCGAATTGGGTACAGTTCGGTTGCGACCGAGCTCGTCTGATTGACGGAAACACAGCGTGCGAGGGTGGCTCTGGGCTCGGCTACGCCCCACTCGGCTCTGAATTTCACTCCTCTGCTGGTCCTCCCGGAAACAAGTGTACCAGTTGAAATTGACTTTGACAAGTGCATAGATTAGAGCGTGCGACTATTCCACGTCTAGCTGCCAACGAGACACAGCCAGTTGTGGGCTGCTTCTGGAAGTCCAGAGTTGCTGGATCATTTAAGTATTATCGGCCACCTTATTTTTGTTGCGTTTCTGATCTTCTGCAAAATCCTTCTGATGGATCCGTCCAACATGTCTCAATATCTCCCTGCTATGCCTACCCTCAGAAGTGATTTCTTTCTTATGTGCCCGCCCCATTTGATCAGGAACAGTGAGACTAAATGATTTTTGTTTTTCTTTTCGATGAAGACGTTCTGGCAGCAATTCCTGCAAACGTCAATCCATTCGAATACGGCCAGGACGTCATCAACAGCCTTTGATTTCCCAAGGTCCCACAAGCAACTTTCGGTGTACTCATCGTTTTCTCAATCATCCACTTCCTCACCGCCATTGTTTGTCTGGTCATACTCCTTTGCTTCATTTTTCCTAAATCAGCTTCCCAAAAAGCCAAGTATGGTTGGTTGTTTAGAAGGATCTATGTGGAGGACGCAGACGGATATCCGTGTACGCCGACGTCTTATTTACTTTTGATAACGCCAATGATCTTGTATCAAGAGTGAAGCTGATCCTAAAAAAAAACATCAAACATGGATGCCTTTATCATGACTGCATTAGTGGATACCACAGCGCTCATATTGCCAAACAGTGGGCCTTTAATGGCATGCTTTCAATTCCTCGCAAGTGGTGTTGCACAAGCGGAAATCTGGCTCACTTTAGCCGCCTTCAAATCTTACGACACGGCTCCTAAGTACAGTTTGCTACTCTGGTGAGTCTGGCAGCATTTTTTTCGCTTGAACTCTAACCGTGTAACTCCTTGGGGTTTGACAGTTGGGTTCATATCACTAAAAAGGTCATCTTGGTCATCTTGTGCTTAGGCTCTACATATCTTGGCTATTAGCCTACTACGGCTTTTGGGTCACGACTTGGGCCTCAGTCTACACTCGGTAAGTTGACCAGAAACAAAGCGCCTGGAACCTACACGCATAGCGAATTTCAAAGTAAAGAAATATCTGACATGCCACCTCATGCCACCCTTGACCTCTTTTGGCCACACACAGGCTGTATACGCAGGCAACGTACGCAGAAGCACTCAAAACTGCCCCCTTTTACATCAAGCCTCTATTTCTCAATTGTTTCTTTCTAGGCGTACCAATTATGGTCACTTTTGCTCAAGTCGGACTTCTAAGCTGGCACATGAGTTCTTTTTGTCGTGAGCGAGATATCTGGAACGACCTAGTCAATTCGCTGAAGGAAGCAGCAAAGTTGTGGAACAACTTGAATAAATCAACCAATGACGCCACCTCAATTTTGAGCCATGGATTGTTCAAAAACGTGAACGGCGATCCTATTGCGATGGCTTTGGTTGCTCAGACGCGTGCTGTGACGCTGATGACCGCTGACGTAGAGACGAATGATCGTCAGCTGATCCAAAGATCGCAAGTGATGGCCTTTGCTTGGGGTGCGTTCCTTCTGATCACCCTAATAGTAAGTCCCACTACTTTTCAAGCGGTAGCAGATCATGCTGAATCCACATTGCCAAGTAATAATCAACTCCTGGCGTGTTTTTCAGATCTACGCTTCGGCAACTTGGTCATTGATTTCTTTGATTAAGAGTGCTGATACTGAGCCAGTCCGTCGGAAACACAAGATGCAAGTAGGTCTACTAAGTCGACGCAAAAACTCCTACACCGAAGAGGGTGGGGCCATATCTGTTGATAACGAAGAGGCGAGATTGCTTCATCGGGGGTTGCGTAAGTCTCTTCATGACCTTACCAAGGTCTCTAACATATGTCATTGTCTAAAGTTGATGATTTATGACACACCTGTCAACATGTTCTAGGATACCTGACTCTGCATAGCTTAACGATGATTACTGCCATTTTATATTCGAGTGTCGTCTGTTTCATCATGGGCGCTCACGCTGAGGCTATCGTGGTCACGTGAGTTCATTATTCATTGTCCCTTATCTAGAATGATAGTCAATCATCTCGAAACCTTCTTGTGGTCTGACTGCGTCCATGGATTCATGATCGAAGGGCGCACTGGCGGGGATTAGGTTCGTGGCTATCTCTAGCGAGCGGTATTTTTATTGCCATGGCAATGGCGTTTCAATTTGTAAGCTGCGTTCTGTATCTCTACGCGCCTTGTACTACAAGTCTTCTTTTTGGGGAACCATTCTCATGGTGAGTTACGCTTACTCATGGTGTCACTTTTGATCTTTTACCATTGATTGCGCAGTGGCGCGTATGGGTCGATCTAGACATCATCATCCCGGTTCAAGATGCAAGGAACGAACATGAATATGATACATTTCAAGGAGACATTCCTTTGCAAGAGAAGGCGGCAGATCTTGCATACCAATCGCGATCATGTCTGACGATTAAACCCTAGCTATCATCTTTATTCGTTTTATCCAACTTGATATTTGGGTTTGCTACATAGAGGTTGAGTAGTCCGCATGAAGGAAGGAAGAGCCTTGACCAAACTAGATAGCCTTTTTAAGTGGGACATTCTTGAACTGGCTCTTCTTTTTGTTCATTGGCATGGATAAAATGGCTTTGTGCTACATGGTATGTGATCATACCAAAAGTGTGTATGGACATAATAAATGGGATTTTCAGAATCTGCTTGTCTTTATTTATCCGCCTTTGTTCATCTAATACTTTTCGGCTCTCTAGGTACACTCGATATACACTTTCTTTTTTTCCAGTACATCTCCCAACAGTTTGGTATCTTGCCATAAGCTCGTTGATGGTGCTTCTTGGTTCTTATTTTTCTTTACATTCCTTTCACTGTTCTCCGCAAGGATATTGTTCTATACACACTCTCTCTTAAACATTGCTTGGAAGGTCACCAATTTCCCCAAGGATTTGCTCCGCTGCTTCCACCAGGCCACATGAAACTTTGCAGCACCTGACATCCATCCCCTCTCAATGATGGACCTCAGAATACCTGCACAGGCTTTGTAACACTACCAATTTTTTATGCATTGTGTCAAGTGCCTTCTGAGCTCAAGGCTATCAAGCACTATGACTACTTATTTGCCCTGCTCCAGTACAAACCCCTATGGGGTAATGGGCTAACTGTTTCAATATATCACAAGTGCTACAATGTGGTACATGTAATGGTACTTACGGTACTCAAAACAATCAGGTTCGTGCCACCTTTTTCAGAAAATGTCAAAAACATAGATTCAAAGTTGATCTTTTGGCGGGGAAATTCCTGGGAATTCGCTGGAACTTTTTTTTTGGATTTTCCTACAGTTCATTTTCCCTACAAAAACAACATTTTGAAAGCAGGTTTTCAAGAAAGGTAGCACGAACCTGATTGTTTTGAGTACCGTAACTGTATGATTTGGGAATTTGAGTACAAAGGGAGGTTTGGGATGTCACAAGGTGGTTGCTCATTGCTGATTTGAGCCCACACCCAATGGCTCTTAAGCTTCCAAGCAGAGTTGCAGTACCTTGCAAAACACACATAGGAAAGGCTCTGGCCCATGCACCTGTTGGCCCAGCCTGCCCAAGCCTGTCCCAGACATCCTATAAAGCTGCCTTGGCCTTGTAGTAGGACTCTGTTGTGGCCATGAGGTGTTGAGTAGGCTTTTTGAACTGTTCTTCAGACCAGCCAATAATTCACTTAGATGGGAGTAACAAAAAAAATGCGCTACAAAATCCATGTCAGGAAAGACATACACTGACTCCGCGGCATATCTCCTTCCTTACAATAAACTCATTACATATAAGTAATCTACATGTAATCAACCAATTACATGTAGTGATTACAATAAACAACACTTGTAAGACAATTATGTACAAACACATACATGGAATAACCAATTACACATATGGCACACAAGATGCTCATCTCTATTATCCCTTGTATTCAATTACTCTGTTTCTGCTTATTCTATTTCAATTTTTCTCTTACTAAGTGATAGTCAAACAGATATACACACTGTTCAACTAATAATATATATACACAGATCAATTTGGAAGATGATCCTGTGTGCTTTGCTATATGATGATCATTCTAATAGTAATAATGCAACTGAGTTGGATTGGGAACCCAACTTAGCAGCTGTTCACCCAAAACTGACCTTCTGGACGCATGGTGATCACCAAGAATATAAGTCTGAAGCTCTTGTGCTAAAAAAGATGGATTGTAATATGATAAATTAAAAAGGTTATTTGCGGTTCTATGGGGATAAAAGGTAACATACACGCAATCTAGCTTATGAAACATGAAGATCTACATGTACTGTTTATTTGTGATGATATACATGATCACAAGCTATCACTACACCAAATGTAATCTTTACCGGGCGGTAAGGAAAACTACTGACATAGAAAAGTCCTGAGGCAACAGGAAGAGAGCTAAAAATCTGAATAAATATGCACCTTGTTCCTAGATGTTGGGGCGTCATGATGAGTATTTTTTTGTATTTTACACGCAGATATTGGTTTATGTACTAACAATAAACACTGAAAATCATCAAAAACTCACATGTAACAATACCTGAAATTTGGGTCATGAGTATGAAGACAATATTTTGTGGTCTAAAAACTTCAGTAACTTTTGCAATTCTGCTCCAAATAACTCGATTTTTGGTTCATTAAAAAGCTGAACTATTCTCCTTCACCTTCATAATGTTAGTAAGGTGCTATCTAGTCATTTAAACACTCTACATATGTTCAAACAGTTCTGCATGAATAGCTCTGTAGAATCCTTTTTAGACCAGCTACAGATGTGATGTCTCAATGAAAAATGTAGAGGAAAGGCTCACCTTTTTAATGCATTTCAAATCGAGTGATTTGATTCAGAACTGCAGAAGTTATTGATGTTTGAAGATTCCAAAATCCTGTCTTCAAAGTCAAGGGCCAAATTTCAGGTATTGTTACAGGTGGGCTTTTGATGATTCTCAGCCTTTATTGTTAGTACATTAACCAATATCTGTGTGTAAAATACAAAAAAATACTTGTCATGACGCCCCAACATCTAGGAACAAGGTGCATATTTTTTCAGAGTTTTAGCTCTCTTCCTGTTGCCTCAGGACTTTTCTATGTCAGTAGGTTTTCTTTACCGCCCGGTAAAGATGACATTTTGTGTAGTGTATAGTGGCTAGTGTCTAAAAGCGTGAAATGTCAGGCTGGGCAAAAAAATAAAAATAAAAATACATATGTTCAGATTTCATGATACACTAGAGAATAGGTGGGCCCACCCGCTAACCAATTGTGCTCATAAAATGCTCCCAAAACCTGTCGTCACTCCTTAGCACTCAATACATGATATAAAATCTCAAATTAGGCACATAGGGCTCTTAAAGAAACATGCATGAAATGGGTGATGCATGTTTCTTTAAGAGCCCTATGTGTCGGTGTGTGTTATGGTTTACAGTCTGTGACACTTATACACACATGTCACGGGAAAGAGGAGTTACCTCACCCGCACACCCCACGTTGTACACTCCTTTCCTCAGACTGCAATCTACCTAGATTCCTAGTCACCTTCAGTGGTGCAGAACCCCTCACCAGCTGGACTCCAACCCCCGACTCTGATCATAACATATTGCAGTCTCTACTAATCCAAAGGACTCCAGCTCGAAACCAAACAGAACCTATTGAATCAATCGAAGATACCAGAACCAGAACCTAGAATAGTCACCGCTCAAAGACCGATACCCCAGATCTCGTAATAGAAAGAACTTCTCAGATCCGAACCTTATTTACATTCAAAACTCAGATTCGAAAGCTTATTTTAAACTTAGACGATCAGTCACAACGCCTCACTACAGGATTCCCACAGACGACAAACCGGATTCTTCCGAGGACAGTGTACACACAGCGATTTCCCCACCGCGCTCTACTACTCCGCGTGATTCCCATCTCGAAATACCGCCACGTATTCTATTGAGCATGGAAGACTTGCAACGACAACTTGCTGAGCTTACGGCGTCCTTAGCCGAAGATCGCATCGCACTCCAGCAGGAGAAGCTGGCCCGCGAAGACGTTGAACGCCGCCTAGCTGAACTCCTTGATACATGTTCGGCGTCATTGAACCCCACCCCTGCATCGACCAACCCCGCTCCGACTGTTGCAGTAGGAGTAGAAACCGCAACCCAAGGTGAAACACCTACCCCAACGACCAAAGGTCCTAAGGTGTCGACGCCAGATAAGTTCGATGGCACCCAAGGCACGGCAGCCGAAGTATACGCAAGCCAAACTGGGCTGTATATGATGGCTTACCCTTACTTGTTTCCGGACGACCGAACTCGTGTGGTGTTTTTCTTATCGTATCGTACCGGAGCTGCCAGTGCATGGGCACAACCCATGACAAAAGAGTTATTCAACTCTGACACCGCTCACCTTGTCACCTACGATCGGTTCGTGAGGAACTTCAAAGCAATGTACTTCGATACTGAGAAAAAGACCAAGGCTGAACGAGCCCTTCGCGCTCTTCGACAAACCAGATCTGTCGCCGCCTACACCCATGAGTTCAACCTACACGCTTACAACACAGGGTGGGAGGTGCCCACATTGATAAGTCAATACAAACAAGGACTTAAGAATGAAGTACAAGTCGTTATGGTAATGGCCCCGTCCGAATTCACATCATTAGAAGACGTCGCAAACTTTGCCATCAGGATTGACAATAAGTTGCACGGCACTTTAGCTGATGGCCCCTCCACGAACGTATCCCAACCTACAGCGGACCCGAATGCAATGGACATCTCGTCATTCAGGATGAAATTATCACCCGAGGAGAGAGCTAAGAGATTGAGGACTGGTAGTTGTTTCAGTTGTGGTGTTCAAGGTCATATGTCAAGCGACTGCCCGGATAAATCAAAGGGAAAAGGGAGGAGTAAATTTAGGAGTCAAGTTCGTATAGCTGAGTTGGAAGAGAAACTGGCCAAGTATGAAGTTGATCACAAAGGAGGAGATGGAAGAGCGGACTCGTCAAAAAATGGCGCGGCTCAGGAATGACTGATGTGCCTGTCCTGAGCTATAAGGAAGTTGGTATAGAAACTATGATCGGCGCTAGTAAATTAGTTATACGCAATGAAAAAGATCCCAGATTATTCATTCATGCTCATTTATCTGTGCCACCAACTTCCCGAGCCACATCCCCAGACCCTATCCCCTTTGTCTTCCTTCTAGACTCTGGGTTGACACACGACGTGATCAGTGAGTGGAAGGCCAAAGAGACCGGTTTTTGTGAGTCAGCTATTACTAGCAAGCACACAATATCGGCATTCGATGGATCCACCAGCACGGCATCACACGCTGTTGACCTCCACCTCGACCACGACTCCGAACCGACACGATTTGTCATTGCGCGTATCAAAGACAGCTACGACGGCATCCTAGGCATGCCTTGGATCAGCAAGTACGGTCACCTCATTGACTGGCGACAACGACGAATCTTAGGCAACAATGACGCACTCATCGCAACCACGTTAGTGGTTTCGTCCAATCCACCCAACCCTTCTTTACTACCGGAGCCATGGAAGGATGCTAGGAACAGTGACGAGGGGATGTGTGTATTGAATGACACGTTAACATCCCCGCGACGTGAGTCTTTTAATGATCCTTCACCACTCATGCTTGAAGCAGTCGACAAGCTTGAACATTTTCCAATTAGACATGTACCGCCACCCTCACCGACACCGAAACCCCACACACCAATACTCACAACCACGACCGCAGTTACACAAGTAACTTTGTCTGATCCGACAACCACCTCACCAGCCCAGGAGCCAATGAGGCACGCTAGGAAACATGACAAGGGGGCTATTATCCAAGCGGATATGTTGACGCCCCCGCGATGTGAGTCCAGGAACCCTTCAGATGATGATAGTACTCAGACAGTAGATAAGCCGATATCGCATTTGATCCCACAGGAACCTGAAACCCAGCCTGTTATTGCGACTGATCAATCAGTCTCGTCCAATCCGCCACACCCCTCAAGAGCCCAGGAGCCTATGAGGCACGCTAGGAAAAGTGACAAGGGGGCCAGCATCTGCAAAGATACATTCCAGCCCCCGCAATGTGAGTTTGCCACTTCTCCTATACGTGTAGTCAAGAAACTAGTGAGCCAGCAGACACCTCTCCTAAATAGCTCAGACGTCACCATCAACGCCGCCAAAGCATCCTGGTCAACCTCAGCAAAACTAGCAGCAGACGCGAAGAAGAACACGATCATCAAGCCCGTGGAAGAACTCGTACCGACGCACTATCACAGGTACCTTGACATGTTTAGAAAGTCTAAAGCTCAGGTCCTACCACCCCGTCGAAAGTACGATTTCCGTGTGGAATTGAAACCAGGAGCCGAACCCCAAGCCAGCCGCATCATCCCGCTATCACCAGCTGAGAACGAGGCGCTAGACGAGATGATCAATGAAGGACTGACAAATGGCACCATCCGACGAACAACGTTGCCATGGGCCGCACCGGTGCTATTCACAGGCAAGAAGGACGGGAAACTTAGGCCATGCTTTGATTACCGCAAACTTAACGCTCTTACGGTAAAGAACAAGTACCCACTTCCCCTGACAATGGACCTTGTGGACAGCTTGCTAGACGCGGACGAGTACACGAAACTTGACCTGCGGAACGCATACGGAAACCTACGAGTAGCTGAAGCCTGCGAAGACATCTTAGCTTTCATTTGCAAGTCAGGACAGTTCGCGCCACTGACGATGCCATTCGGACCAACTGGAGCCCCTGGATTCTTCCACTACTTCATGCAGGACATATTACTAGGACACATAGGCCGTGACGCAGCAGTTTTTCTTGATGACATCATGGTTTACAGCAAGAAAGGAGCCAAACATCAAGACGTGGTGATGAAGATCTTAGAAATACTGAACAAGCAACAACTCTGGCTGAAACCAGAGAAGTGCGAGTTCTCGAAACCAGAAGTCGAGTATCTGGGACTGATCATCTCTCACAACCGTGTCAAAATGGACCCAGCTAAAGTGAAAGCAGTAGCCGAGTGGCCTGCACCAAAGAACGTCAACGAACTGGAAAGGTTTATAGGCTTTGCAAACTTTTATCGTCGATTCATCACCCACTTCTCAGCAACAACACGCCCACTACACGATCTAACAAAGGACAACACACCTTCATCTGGAGCGCTAAATGCCAAGAAGCGTTCAACACCCTGAAAACCGCCACCTGTGTGCCACAGATTCCTGGGTACTTAACCGACCATACAGACGTACTGTCTCTACGGCTTAGATCCCAAAACACCCCCCCAGACGCCCCCAGACGCGCCAGATCACACCATTAGACACTTCTAACCAGCATATAAGTTGGGAATTGTCGATAACACACCAAAACGACCGCAAATATACAATTCCGAGTCACAATCCGTTTTTTTCAAGTGTTAACTTTTACTTCAAATTTGAGCAGTGTAAAAGGATGCATACCCAGACACATCTGCATCGGTACAACACAGCAGGACTCCGAGTCAAGGATACCCAATACATAAGCCCTATCTCAGATCCGTCTGCACACCCACCATACAAACATAAGTCCTGTGCAGACCCGTCTGCAAATATACAATTTTGACACAGATGCGTCTGTGTTGTTTCGCCGACGTCTTGCTTCACAGACACAGATCCATCTGCGCTATCGCAGTGTGTTGATTCCTATGTACATACTACATCCGAATCAGTGCTGTGCAGACCCGTCTGCAATTTGGCTGTCGATCTGTGTCTCAGTAAATCAGAAACGCCTCATTACCACTTCCCCTCACGACAAAGAAGTCCTCACTGTATCACGGAATGGCCACCCACAAAGAATAGAAAAGCAGTTGTTTTTTATATTATATACAACAGCATCACCAAATCATCAATACCTCAAAGCATGGATCTGTAATTACATGAAAGCAAGTACACAATGTGAGCATGTATCATGCCATTACCCATTCTAAACCAACATCGTGCAATACATCTACTCGATCTCCTTGGTAAATTTCTTCGTCATCAGCTACAGGAAAATGTAGCTCCTCCATATCCTCCTCGTCTATGCCTTCAGCCACATACGGCACCGAACTCAGTAAAGTAGCCCAGGTATTTCGGTTCCTTGCCACTAGAGCCACCCAGCAAGCCTTGAGAATCGAGTTTGGCTCTTGAGGCTGATCACAGTAAGGCTCTGTTTTGTCAAGTAATAATCTAATATACTTATCCCAAACCATCCACCTGCGACAGTGGGTAAGAGACAAGGATTTGTGCACTGATTTGAGAACCTCTTGGCTCTCGTTCCAAGCTTTTTCTGAAAGCATCCCACCCTTCTGAACCATTTGGATTGGCCGTGTGCCATGCGGAAACCCTGCAATCCATGCTTGAATATTATGGGTCAAGACCAATCTGTCAACTATGTATAGCAGACCGTTGATTCATTTGATTCATTTGGAGTCTCTTACGCATTGCAGATGTTTCCTTTAAATCATCAAGCTTTTTTTCCATTCACAAAGATTCCAGTACTACATTTCTAACCTCCCGTGCTATCCTTCTAACCTCCTCGTCACGGCTTCGAAATGTACGGAACGCATGGATACCTTGTTGGGTTGGCACATCCGAGGCCCAAAGCTCGTTAGGATGGGTCAAATGACCTACGTTCCAGAACGTATCATCAAGACTTAGTCGGGTGATCTCCTGTAAACTGGGCAATTGTAATCGTTCTTCATCTGGGAATCGTGTATGAAACTGATTGACGTGAAGCTCGTAAGTAGTCCACTTTTGCTTCAATGTCTTCTCTTTCTTCACCATCATTGACTTGTACCGTTCTTGATTTGTGGTACCTGTTATACAGAGAACGTGTCAGTTGGTTTGTATCATCAATGTTGAGAGGGCAGCACTGACCGATACCAGGCTGGTCCCACTTCTTCTGATGTTCAACAACTGCCACCTTCGCTTCGTACAAGTTTTGCTTTGCCAATCGAATGCGGAAACGAGCTCGTGCACATGGATCTTGAATTTGAATTATAATTAATTAGATAAAATAACTGTCACTACATGGATGAAGAAAGTAAAACCCTGTACCTTTAACTTCCGGCATGTTTCGAAAGTCCTCTCCACCTAACTCCGATACGAGCTCATCAATTGTAGATTCAAAGACCACCATAGACCCGGGCAGTTCCTCCAGCTCAGCATGCTCTGCTTCTGTTAATGTCCTACGCCGCTGTGACCGAAGGTATGCAAGGCGAGAACTGTGATATAAGCCAAATCCTTGTATGTCAATACAGGAGGTTCAAGGCTGAATAAGACACGATTAGACTGACTGAGCCTCTCGGAAATTCTCCTCAAGTGTAATGAGACGTCCTAAGCGCGATTCTAAATCTTGAAGGTTAGTAATGGCCATTAGTTCCAGCTGGCAAGTACGCTGTCTTTCCCATTGGAGGGAACAGTATTCCATGGTATGACCATGAGTTTGCTGTATCGCAAGAAGTTGCCCTTGAGCCTTCGACTTAAGCTCAATCACCTCGTCAAACTTGTTTGACATCAGACAAGCTTTCCCACAGATACATACACATCAGCAAATCTAATTTAGAATACGTAAATGATGAAACTCGAACATACATACCTGCATTAATAACTCCAAGATTGTTTTTATGACCCGTTCGCAAGTGTAAGGCATCCACTCTATTCTGCCTAGTTGCAAATCAAAGTTGAGGTACCAATGGCGCATTAAAAGACCAAATTCTCTCACTCCCCTCGCCATCAGATAACCCCCACCCAATGTTGAGTCGGGGATTGTACTCCAGTTGACAACTCCACCTATGGACCGATGCATGAAATGCACTCGTTCCAAACTTCAACTGGCCATGTGAGCGCTCGGTGGTAAATAGATTGTGCTTTAGATTAGAAGGAACAAACAATCAAAAGAGACTCGGCAAGAAATGTAATAACAAGAGTTGTACATACTCTCTTTATACCCTTCTCCAGCGTACAACCAATATCATACAATACTGCTATGCGTTGCGGAGGCTTTTCGGGCTCTTGCGTACGATTGATCAATGAAGCCAGCAAGGCATGCGCGAAGTAAGACCTGTGGTCATGACAAGAGAAAGCTAATGTCAGCCTAATTTCATGCATTTGACCTCTCTATTCTCATACACAAACTTTTCTCCACTCCGCACAATATTAATGTACGATATGCACTGGTCATGCCTGCATGCAATCACCATAAGTCCGGTTTCTTCACAAGCTCGCCAAGTGTGGCCCGTTCGAGTGTCTGCAGCTGCTGTATGCTGAGCAGTACAAGGGTCCTAGTTCGTTACCGAGACAATCAATGGGGTCAGCATCCCAATTTGTTTGATCATGATAAAAACGATGTAGATGATCAAAAACATATGATCTATAAACTTACTGTTGTTTCTTCGGCACTTGCTCTTGCGGCGGCTCTGTCAGCCCACTGTTGAACCTTTTCTTCAGGTAGAAACAAAGATGGCATCTGTGGTGGAAGGTCTTCAGATTCCCGACTCGCCGCCGCGTGCCGTCGTTGTTGAAAGTTAGCGTCCATGCAGACAATCAAGTCCGGCTCCGCATCTCGCTTTGATCGGTCTCCGGGTCCAAAGCATCGAGGACAGATGCTTGCTAGGGCTTCGCTTGGTGACAGATCGAGAGCTTCTGAGACCAAATCTTCACGCATCTTGAGTAGTTGCCGGTAAGCATAGACTGCACAAGAGAGAGGTCTTCTCCATCTCCGCGGCTATGTTGTTAGATAAGGCATGAGACCGTTAGTATTGCGCCTGCGCCAAATAGAAACAATCATCAAATCAATCAAATACTGACCTCGTTTGTCCCGGGGACCAATATCACTGGGTTACAGGCATCCAGAATTTCGTCGATGGCCAATGCAAATGGCTGTACACCTATTGGCTTGTGCTTCCACAACGTATGATAAGTTCGTAGAAGTCTCAAGGAAAAGGCGGTCTGTGGATGGGTTGGCGAGCCTCCCAAATATCCTTGAGAAATAAGACGCACTTGGTCGGGTGTGCAGCTGCAGAATTGGATGGTTTTCTGTTCACGAGCTGTGATGCCGACATATATGTCAGCAAATAAGAATAGTAATGCCAGTAATCAAAATAACATGTACTACACAGGTCAAGCATATCAACCTTTCGCAGAGACTTATCACTCTCTGGGCAGTAGCACATACCATCCTTGAAATGATCCTGACACCATAGCTCCTTGTGCCCCCAATCGGATGTGATGTTAGAACATCGCATCCAGCAAATAAACATCTGCCGGATGTTACGTCCCCAAGCCCACTCTTCTTTAACCCTTCGAGATGTGTAATTCCGACCTGCGACAAATTGTCCAATGTTGCGAGCGTTTGTACCCTCTTCGGTTGGCTCGTGGTCTTCTCCGTGGTCTATCAGATTGTTATTGTGATCATGATTGTTCAAATCTCCTGGTCCAGCGTTGTTTAGTACTTCTTCATTGTTTGATGAGGTGCTTGGGTTTGGGTCTGCGGGAGGAGGAGTAGTGTTGGACACATGAGCTTGATGGAGTCTGTCGTACTTCGCCTCACACCACTTGTGGGCCTCCTCGTCATGCTTTGCCTTTTCTTTGGAAGCTTCAGTAGTTGGCAATCGCACCCTTTTCTTTGCGCGCGTACCAGGTAGTCGTATTGAAGAAGTTGACATGTTGTAAAGTTGTTATTTCTTGGATTGATTGGGAAGAGCAGTTGAAATCGGTCTCAAGATATAGTATTGGAGAGCTAAGTTCTAACCCGACCTTCGACCTAACCCCTTCGGGAAGGAACCACTCTGGAAAGGGGTCAATGCTAAGATAACGTCAGACTTTGATGTTTGTGTAGCTCAGATCGTGCACAAATCTGATTCCTTGTCATGACAATTCATCACCATCATTTGAAAGCAATTGAAAATCTGTTAGTATATTCTCTCTGATTCTTCAACAACGGACAGAACATCTTAGGATGTTTTCTCAGGTAATGAAGCTGTGGCCTCTCGTGAATCAATTCATTGCTCTGGAGATTCAACCTTTATTGGATTTAGTTATCCAATAAAGCCAACACTGTGACAATCACGGTGCAAGCGTGTGTTGAATTTGGGATGTCACATCCAGAAGCCCGTACTGGGACTTATATGGATAAATCACGGCCTTGCTGCTTGATGGTGTCTCGAGCAGCAAGATTCACAAAATGATACAAACCTCCAGGACAAAAAGGGTATAACTTGGTCATTTCTTTCCCAAAGTTGATGATGTTATAATGAAAACTGATCAAAATCAAATTTTATACAGAGTTGAGTATGAGATATTTCTGATAACTGTGGATCTTTGGGGTGATAAGGATGCTAAAGCATAGTTTGGAACTCACACAAACCTGATAAAAGGAAACCTCAGCCAATATGGATCCAAAGTTGATGGTGTGATGATAAAAAACGTGGCTAAAATAATTTCATGAACAGTTTACTCTTTTCAAGATACATGGTTCTTCAAGGTCATATGAAATATGATGTGAAATTTCCAAATGTGTACATATCACATAAATGTGGTATCACTCAGCCAAAACTTCTTTAAACTTGTGGATAGCTTAATAAAAGATGATCAGGAGGTAAATTCATGTGGAACTTGGTAAGAGTTTCTTCTTATGTCAGAGGCTCTGGAAAGTGATATGGGCTATGACATTGGCTATGATATGAAGCTTTGAAACAGTATGTACCCCAGAAAAGCGGTTGAACCGTTGATAAATTTAATGCTCCAAAATTAGTGATGTATCAATGAAAAATGATCAGAAATCAATGTCATGGAGACTTTAAATGTATCACCAAAAATAAACTCTCCTGCATCAATGACCATTGATGTTGATATACTTGCTATATCTTGTAAAGTAGTGAAAGTTGGGGTGAGGTGACCAAGAAAAAAATTGAGATTTTTAATTTTTTGGATAGGTTTAAGTGAAATAAAGGAGGCACTTTTTTTGGTTTATCTCAACAAACAAAAAAGTTTTCCTTATAGAGCGTATTACCCAAAATGTCAATTTGGATTCCGCAGGCCCACTGAACAGGCCATAAGTGTTCTATACATTGTAAATTGGACTAAAAACTATGATAAATCTAAAAAACACATACTCTAAAAATAATTTCCAAGTCCAACTTTGAGGTTAACTGGTAAATTGAAATTTTTTTTATTGTGGCACGTGTTGCCAAACCATTATCAGATTGTACTGTGTGACCTTACACTGTAAGTCATACCTTGAGTTTACTACGCAGTGATATGAAAATAAAAGGTAACAGCAAAAAAATGGATTCAACTTCAACATTAGGATTAACTTTGAAATTGAGAAAGTTTTAATTGTGGCATGTGTTGCCAAAAATCATTAAATGGTACTATGTCACCACTCATCACACCATAAGTGATCTGTAATACCTTGAGCTTACTACTAAAAGTAAAAGGAAAAAGCCAAAAAACCAGGATTCAACCTCAACCTTTGGATTAACTTCCAAATTGGAAAGGTTTTAATTGTGGCATGTGTTGCCAAATATTCATCAAATGGTACTATGTACATGAACACTCATTACAGCATAAATGAATGATCCATACAAGGGTGATTATTTGCCCACTAAATGGAATCAATATACACAAAATCTAATTTCAAGGCTATTGCTATTCTTGTTTGAAACTTTGGCCATAGATACAGAACATCTCCTTCCTTTCTGAAATGGACAACATTGACCTATGAAATCACCTTTTGCATGGTTAAACCTATTGTTGAAAAACCCCTTCACTTCTTGCCTTTTTGATCTCCAATGTTATGTTTCAAAATCAAATTCAAATGGACCCAACATCAAAGATCAGGTTGTTTTTATTTCAATCAAGCTAATGTCAGGCAAATTGACAATAAAGAAATCATCAAGGATGTTTGATTTTGCAAAGTGCCTGTTTGTAATGTGTGTGTCCAGTCAAAGACCACATCAACAACGAGTCTAGATATTTCATATATGCTATCTGTCCTCTATTCACACACTCTTGATGTCGGAATTGGACATGAATCAACACTATACAAAGTTTGTAATATGATTCTGAATGTAGTATTTGAGTATCTCTGTTCATTTACATAACTAGGGATTAGGCGCCCAGCCGCCGCATTGACCAGTGCATTGCTATTGCATAGACCATTTACTGCCCGCGTTCCAACCCGTACCTGACATTTGTACCGTCACCGGGTCCTCATTGCATCAACTAATACTTCACCCATGTGACATTCGTGTTGTGACAACCATCCGGGATCGTGATGATCTCGAATCCATGAACTCCACTGCCAAACACCACATCACCAATTGCCACCGGATGATCTGTACAGCAGATAAAACACCAAAGTAAGTCGTCCCGCCATCCAACATCACCATCATTGACATGGTTTCACTCACAGGATGGACAATTCGAGAGACACTTCCAACATTGAGGATTCGTTCTCCATCAATGACACTCGCAACGGTGACAGTTCGTGTGCAGGAGAGGCTCACCACGGGAATGTGAGCCATTCCGAATATTCTGTTACACATATATTGACACATCGAATGACAGCACGAACCACCCACGAACACCCTCTCCGATTCGTTACCAGACGTCGCCACTCATGCTTCCAAGACGCCGTGGTAAATCGCGGCCCAAAGGATTGTTGCGTATGAACTCGAGTCGCCAGTGCTCGACACAAATGTACAAATCGACGCATAGCTCCTGAAAGAGACGGCGGCCGTGCAGCACGGGCGAAAACGTTTTGAGGCGAGGAAACAGCATCCACGCGAACCAGGCCATCTGACTGATTTTTCCTGAATTGCAAGTCATGTCAGCAATGTTATTAGTGCAAAGATTACCCGTCACTCACTGTCAGTGAAAGGCATTCGGTAATTCCCGTCGTAGCCCTGCTGTCCACGCGGGAAAAATACTACGTAACGTAGGGCCAAATAAGAGGTATTGAGGTCTGAAATTGACTTGAATGACCTCATCTTGGTGTATAAGAGGACATCTCGTGAATTCTCGGTGATGCATCCGTCCCCTTCTACGATCATTGCCACTTCGTCCGTTGTTGGTAAGTTATAAATTCTCTGATCCCGGTTGTCCAGACGCATAGTCATGAGCTTGACAGCGACATTGGGATTGGTCGCGAGTACTTCCCCTGCTTGTTGGAACCTTCTAGCAAACGGGTTGATGTCATACATGAAAGTTTGAAAGCGTTGCAGGATGTCGAGATTGAGGTTTTTCCCAGAAACTTTTCGGCGTAGGATTGCTTCTTCCTCGTCACCACCCCCTATCACATAGATCTGACAGTAACCAGGGTCGACCCCATCGCTGGCCCGGAGTGAACTAATGTCGTGCGTCAAGTGTCCATTGACTCGAAATATATTGACCCCCATTGGACCCATCACAGATCGATCGACCTTGCCCCCTAAAGAAGTAAACGATAGGGCATTGTTGTAAGATCGGATATTTTGCTGGAATTCAACCGAGTCTGGTCATGCAGGGCATCAGCGTATGGTTAGGATTGTCGTCGTTTTCCGGAGACATACCTGGGTCAGTGCCAGTCAGCAAGTCTCGTACGAAATCTGGTACGACGTGGTCACCAAAGTAATCAACAGGCGGTTTAATTTTTCCACCGCGGCAGCATGATGTGTAGGCGTGAGGTCCGTTGACCTTCGCGCTTGTTGGTCGTTCTGAGATCCAGTGTAGAGCTCCACAGAATGAGCAGGCATCGTCCATAGCCCCCAGATGATGCGGAATTTCGTTCCTCAAGCGTTTCATAATGCTTTCTTCAGTGTTCTGTTGCTGATTTGCCACGGCCAGTCCGAGTTTGGCGCGTTTAGGAGCCCGAGGCCTCAATGGGATGTTCTCTTTGTCGTTCATAATTTTTTCTCGTAGAAATATCGACGCAGGGCGGGGTAAGATCACTGGGAATTGATTGTCGATTCTGTTAGGGATCAATCCGTGATGTTGCAGCCTTGACCCAGTATAGGAGTGCATGTGTACCGACACTACTTGGGTAATGTGACCGGGCAAAACAGACAGGTACGACTCGCAGCCTGATTGTATGTAAGTTTCGGTTGAGGTTGACCCTGAAAGGGCACAAAACGGGACAGGAAACGGCGAGTAGCGGTGACAGAGATGATTGTCACTGAAAGTGACTCAACGGAGGGATGACTACGACGCACAACCATGTCAACGTTGCTCAATCAGGAGAAGTATTTTGTTCCCACGGGGGTACTCAAATCTGGCGACAGTTTTAGCCTATGAAAGGCTAGTTTTGCAGTAACGACAAAGCATCACTCCGTGTCAGGCGGCGTAGGGAGTCTTCAAGACGGAGAGGCACGTCAAACTTATTGGCGTCGAAAGAGTGTAGTTGATTTTCACAGGAATATTGACATCTAATAACAGAATTTACACTATGCACAAGTAATGACGAAGAGTCGTTTCCTCCAACGTCGCTAGGGGGGGATACAATTTTGGGCGGCAAGATATCACGCAGAAACAAGTGGTCACATGACGCTCATTCCTTTCGAGCACGTTTGCTCTGGGCCCGGCTGCTGACTCCGGTGCTGGGCGATGACGGGAGAGCTGCTTTGTCTAAAGTGTTAGTATTGTCGTCTTGTGGAGTGGCAACGTTAAGAGGGTCCGCGGTTGAACTCGAAGTTGACGCGACAGGACCAACAGAGCCAGAAGAGGAAGGCACAGGCGCCGTATACCTGCAGCAAGAGTTTCAGTTATGTACTACGAGCAAAGAGTGAGAATGCTTACCTGGGAAGACGCACTCGACCGGCGGCAGTTGTCTGGGCTACTCCAGCGGTACCATTACCGTTCGGAGTGCTGACAGACTCGGCACCAGTGGCTACGGAGATCGCGTAGACCTGGAAAGGGAAATGTCAGTAACGAGAGCGATATGGATTAGCATGATGGGGCCCTGCAACATACATCGACTTGCCACATGTGGCGGGCTACATCTTTACCGGTAACATAACCCATGATAGTCATTTCCCGTCCTTGCTGAAATAGATTCTGGACTTTAGCGAGGTTGCGTACTGGCCGGCACCAGTACTCCATCTGGAATCCAATGTTCGTACCGGTCTAGGGAGCGGTCATGTCAGTGGGGCGACGATGAGGGCGGGGTTAGAAGCCTGAAAGCGTACCACTGGATTATAATCCGTGTGTCGCACGATACAGATTGTAGTAGGCTTCCCGTCGTGCGCAGGCTCCTGGATAACCCGTTTGCTGAGAATGATACCGATGGAGGACACAGCGGTGTTGTTGATCAAAGCACCGGGAAAGGCCTCTGAGTTGCCGAGGTGCACGACATGGCTGAATTCATGGACACAATTGGAGGGCGTTGGGTTGTTAGGTGCAAAGAACTTGCCCTTGGCGAAGTACATCTCGCCAACGGTGACTGCGGTGCCAGATCCGGAGAATGACGTAAGGTGTGTAGGGTGTTCGTGAGCGTCGTTACCCTCGATCCCGCCGCAGCTGATACCGGTCTGGCCAACGCGATAGCCAACGTTTGCGTTGAGGGTGCTAGCGATCTAAAGAAGGAATTAGGAACAATGTGACGGGGAAGATAATGGAAATGCTGTGCTAACCATGCCAGAGACTTCCCAACAAGCAGAAATGTAGACGGGGTGGGAGACACGACGATTGGAAGGGGAAGCCGACATATTTATGAATAAAGGGAAACAGGAGGAGTAAGGCAAATGCGGATTTGTTTGCAGAATGCTAATAACAAAATGAGATCGACAGATGAGAATGAAAAGAAATTGTTGGGGAGTAAGCCAAATTGATAGCTTCCAGAGTTGGGTTATTATACCTTGGAATGGTTGGTGGGCTGTCGACAAATTGACCGAGTGCGGTCGGAGGTTAGCCTGGCTGTGAGGGCGAGAAAGAGTGTGGGTGATCATGCCGGTTGGAGTGCTAATTCATTTATTTGTGGACTGGTCAGGCATCAGTCAAGGCGCACGTGGTTGGTATTGTAAGGTCCATATGGATGGTGTTTGGGTGGAGCGGTTCAGATAATGACGGGTGAGCAGACTGATGGTTAAGACTGGCGGTGCACGAGGGGTGGTTGCGAAGTATGGGGGCATGTTGATTCATTAATCTAAAATCTGGGGAGAATTGGTGTAATGGAATGGCGGTAACGTGTGACAGGGCAGTGGAAACAATCACCGCAGTGACTGCACGAGTCAATGAATTGGGTGCAGGATTGGACAACAGGTCAGAACCTGACAGTACCACCGTAGCCCATCTTGTGTTATTAGTAATAGAAGATTAAATTACACAACATTATATCATATGAGATCATAATGTTGTGACTCGTGACTGTACGATACTGGTTGGGGCTAGAGGAGGGGAAACCCAGAGGTCCGATTAGGGTGTCGGTCCTTTTCCCGTCATTCACAACTGGCTGTATACCTGGAGTCATACAACACCCATCATCCCACTCCTATTCCTGACGACTAGGCAGAATGTTCCGAAGTACCCGACTCAGCACTCAATTGCAAACTACCAAATCAAATCCTCCAAAACAGCAACCTAGTCGCCGCAACAAACGTAACCGGACTGAAGTAGATTCTGTTGATAACATTCGTGATCAAGATAATCGGCCGCCCAGTCCTGCAGCCAATCAAACTGCTGGCAATTCCCACATTCAACCTGACACATCATCCACAATCGCAATCAAACTCTCCGAAATCACTGTGCATACCTACAATGGCCAAAAGAAGTATTGGCCGCTGCCACGAATTGAGGAACAACTTGCTCATCAAAAACCTGACAACAACAGCAAGCCAAGCCCGCTGATTTTGGCCGAAGCAAAATCCCTTTATGCAAATTTCATTCATAGCATCAATATGCTGGCCATGATTGGAGCTGTCAGCGTGGACACCTTGAAAGCAAAGATGTTTGTGATCTTCACTTGTCAATTATCTTTTTGAACTCCTTTGCATTCAAATTTTATTGACCACACTGTCTTCCTCTTCCCTGACACAGAGGTTTGACTGGGGCAACTCGCGAAAACAGCACTTGGACTCGATTTCTTTCCTTTGCAAAGGAGGCTAATCAATTGCCTAGTAGGTCGTTTTTCATAACCAATTCATTTCAAATGACATTCTAATCTGACACGTCTCTTGATGATATTTACATTTTTTTGCTGTATGTCTCCAACAGTGCCACCACGAGGCGATCCAAATGCAAAAGAGCTACTTAGTGCACGCAACAAGGCCAACAAGCGTGCTTACGATTTTCTAACTGAAGTCGAGGTACAGGTGTTCACCCCTCGAGTCTTTTATGCTTTGGGTGGCTATCCGGACTACTCAGCTATCTCAGTTGAAGACCACAAGACAAGCGGTGATTTCGAAGTCCTCATTCCAGAAGTCCCCAAGCTGTCTGACGAAGAGGAGGCTCTCTATCGCCCGCTCTACAATAAATTAGTGAATGCTGACAAGGTCAATAAGGACCGCGAGGCTACGAAACCACCTTCACCCGCGCGCATGGAGCAAAGGTCCCTCCAAGCTTTCAAGAAGTGAGTACAACAAGTATGAAAAAAATTGATTTGTATTGATGGATTTGGCTGGATGAGCTGATACGTTTATGTGTCTGATTTGTATCTGAGAGTAGCTCAATCAAGATGCAAATATCACCAATTTCGACTTCTATGTGATCGCCTCAAGCAAAACTCTGGACCCTGGCTGGTGCGAGGAGGCAACTACTCGGCCGGCGGTCCGCAAATGGCTCGAAAAAAGGCACAACTTTCAGAGTATCTTCCCTATATACTCGCAAGCTAAGTTGGAATGTGTTGAAGACATCGACAAGGCAGCAGCAGAAGTAGATGGTAAAGTGACGGTTCAAAACAGGCGGGTGCCAAATAAGTCTGATATTGAGAAGACTACTCTGACTGAGCTCCTGACTCAGCGCATAGGTGAGTGACGATTTCGTTTTCTCATTTGAGTCCCTACATTACGTCCATAACTGACTTGGAGTTGACAGTTCAACTTGTTGGAATGCCTGCTAATGGACTTCCACGAGGTCCAGATCCCCCATCTCAATTTCGCAAGAATCATATCAACGTCGAGTTTGTGCGAAGTCCCGATTCCGCAATGACCAATGAAGAATTTATGAAAGGCTTTGATGGTATGTTGACTTTGGGACGACGTCATTGGCTTCAAGATCTTGCGGATGGAAAGTTCAAGATGGTATTGAAACTTCCGACAACTTCCACTCAACCTCAATGTCATGATGACTCAAATACTTCAACCTTAAACCGACACGATGATCAGCCTCAAGGCAATACCGAACAACAACCTCAAGTCAATCCTGAAAGATCTGATGCCGATGCTCAAACGCAAGATGAAACTGTTGATCAAAATAGTGGCGCTCAACTTCAAGCCACTAGTTCTACTTGTATAATTTGATCACTTCACATGCTATGTGTCTCACTATATGTCTTCCTCCTCCCTCTGCAAATTTCATCTTGATTGGATAGGATGTGTGGTTTTGTTTGATATTGAATTGTTTCAAGTTTCTTACTATTTGTTTCTCACTATAACTTCTGCCCATACCAGATCGTTTCTTCATTGTTTGATCTTTTTGCTAATAGGATGTGAGGCAATTCTTCCAAACTTGGCAATGTACAGCATTTCAAACTTGAATCGTTTGATAGTGCAATGAGCTGACTGATTGAGTTCTGATCATTGTGCGGATAGATTTGGCAAGTAGTTATAGGAGCCAATTGGTGGCTGCAGTTCTAATGGTATCGGACCAAAGAATATGATCTGCAAGTAAATTGTTAAAAGAATCAATACAGATGGATATTAATTCCATCTAACTACAATTTTATGAATGTATGCCAGGCCTGTTGGATAAGCATGACAAGACATCAGACGGATCTGATGTAGGATAATGACCAGATGGATCTGGATCCTAATGCACCCCAGATCCATCTGACAGCTGCATTACCCAGACAGATGGATCTGAGGCCGTGCGATTCCAGATCCATCTGGTCATTATCCTACATCAGATCCGTCTGATGTCTTGTCATGCTTATACAACAGGCCTGGCATACATTCATAAAATTGTACTCAGATCCATCTGCCAGCTAATACATAGACCCACACAGAACAGATGGATCTGAGTCCGTGTGATTAGGACCCAGATGCATCTGGCATCCTAATTTGTGCCATCCTGGTCCATCCAACACTTCTACATATGTATTATAAACAACGTCCTTTGCACAAGATTTGACAAAATCGCTACTACACAGTAACGCACAACACGCACAAGAATGGGTGAACACTCAAGAGTCCCCGTGGTCAATGTTACACATCACCTCACTACGTGCTGAAGTAAATCCCTGTCATCAGCAGCCTACAATCAACTTATCGATCTATGGCTGCTGATGGATGGTAGGACGTTACTGAGATCATTTTGAGCTTTAAAAACTTTATTTCATCCAAGCCAATAGAGAATCATGATAAAGGCGATAATTTTCACAAATATTGCAAATGATCTCGGTTGATTTAATCGTTTCACGTCTCGTGATCTTGAATTTTCTCAATATTTAGATCGGTATTAATGGAAATACAAAGAAAGTTCTCTTTTATGAGACGGTGATTTGGTCACTTCAAAAGCTTAGTGATTGTTATCATCGTGACAATTTTGAACTGTGGTGAGATGTTGAGTACCAAGAAGTGGTGATCATCATCATCAGACTGCTTGATCACATAGCACAATAATTCAGAGCCCTTCTACGGGTGTTCTTTTGGATCGGGATGGTTGACTGCAGAGGTGTTTCTGTCTACAGTCATGAGGAATGGATGAATTGGCTGTGTCCGAGACACCCACACCAGGAACCAACTCTGTAATGGCGCAGATGGATCTGTGTCTGTGCAGCAAGACGTCGGCGAAACAACACAGACGCATCTGTGTCAAAACTGTATATTTGCAGACGGGTCTGCACAGGACTTATGTTCGTATGGTGGGTGTGCAGACGGATCTGAGATAGGGCTTATGTATCGGGTATCCTTGACTCGGAGTCCTGCTGTGTTGTACCGATGCAGATGTGTCTGGGTATGCATCCTTTTACACTGCTCAAATTTGAAGTAAACGTTAACACTTGAAAAAAAACGGATTGTGACTCGGAATTGTATATTTGCGGTCGTTTTGGTGTGTTATCGACAATTCCCAACTTATATGCTGGTTAGAAGTGTCTAATGGTGTGATCTGGCGCGTCTGGGGGCGTCTGGGGGGGTGTTTTGGGATCTAAGCCGTAGAGACAGTACGTCTGTATGGTCGGTTAAGTACCCAGGAATCTGTGGCACACAGGTGAGCAAAGTGGCCCCTCGACAGATCACCCCAAGGAGTATGTCGAACCTCTGCTAACATCGAGGCGCCAGGCCTAGTCGTCTGCTCCATCCTCTGCTCCAACCATTGTACCCAGCCCAGTTGTATTCAAAAGTTCAATAGAAGAACACCATCATAACCCTTACAAATATTTCACTTATTCATTTTTACTCAAGTTATAGCGTGTTAATTTCTTTTAGTCTCTCAGCTTTTGAATTTTTTTTTTTTTAAAAATCATGCAAAATGATCAACCACTTTCACATCAAGAAATTAATACCACAAACGATGCGACAGATTCTTTTCAAAGAATCAAAACTATCCTTTTCGATTACGACAAATCCGGCGGGAGCCGAGTTATCCCAATGCGCGTCTTACGAGCTTTATTCTTGGAAGTGTTCTCTCCTACCGACGAAAATTTGGAAAACTTCATTTTCAACTTTTCGATGTTTTCCAGAGCTGCCATCAAGCTCAATACTAGGGCAGGTAGACCAATCTATAAAATGGTTGGAGAGAACTTCGTATGGCCATCTACAGCCAAAGCTCTATTGGATGCAGAGCCGGCAGTGCTCATGTCCAAATGTGCCTTTAATCGGCCGGACGCAAACCGAGCTTGGTTCTCCATCCCGGAATCCAGGCTTTCCGATATTACAAAAGCCAGTTCGGCGGCTAGACATTCAGGAGCATCAGGACCTTCCTCTTATCAACATAAAGGAAAAGGTCGTAAATCCAGGAGCCCCCGTCGCTCTAGGAGCCCTAGGCGTCACTCACGTAGGACTAGCCCAGACTATCATCAAAGAAGAAGCCCAGACCCACGCCGTCGTACTTCCAGGAGCCCTCCTCGCCGACGCTTCACGTCTGTCAACCAGTACGGGTCGTCTCCTAACTCGCAGGATCGCTCTCGCCGGCGTCAACGAAGCCCACAGCGTTCCTCCAGACGCTCCCCAAGTCCTAAAAGGCAAAGTCGTCGAGACTTCAGCCCTCAAGCTTCGGGAAGTGGTCGTCGACCCTCGCCAACGCGCCGTGAGGAAGAACCACCCACATCATCTAGCAGACGAGCGCGTTTTGAGCCCCCGCACGACAGGCACGGGAACTCCTCTCTCCTCGAACGCATTGATTCCTCGATTTTCCATCGGGTTAACGAGCAACCACCACCAGTTCGCGTCCCTGAGAAACGGTGTCGAGTATCTTCATCTCCTGAACCCGTTTCTAACTCCCTCTTTGAAAAAGCCTTTCAAAAATTCGTCAACTCAGCTGGAAAGTCAACGAAAAAACTCGCTTTCCAATCAGCAGAGCAAGATTCTGACGACAAAATCAAAGATCCTATTGCCCGCGAAATCAAACGTATCAAATTCGAATATAAAGAAGATATTAACACTACGCCAAAGTACATCTTTTCCTAGGGGTATAGAAAAATACATTGCACGTAGAAAATTGTTTTCTATACTCATACAGCATACTTTTCTATGCTCACATAAGTATAGAATACACGCAAAGGACTGGTTGGGTTCCTGATCCATGTCCTAAATAGTATTGATCTATGCATGTCTTGATATGTATTTGACTTGATGTATCGTAGCACAGTACATCGTACAGTAGGTAAAGTTTAGAAAAGTCTGTACATACCAACCGGTGTGAGACTTCGATCAAGTTCAATGGGGTCTATAGATCGATGAACAATGATGATGTAAGTCTTTCATCTCTCTTCAGCTCATTGTTGCCCAGGTCAAGCGTTTGTCAACCTCCGTAAACCCCTTCAGCTAGTCGTGCTTGACGATTCAATACATACAAACAAGCCTCGTCATAAGTACAAAGATGCATCAGCTCTTGCTGAATCAGGGTATGTATTCGTTTCTCTCATGAGTCACTGACTCTCCCTTCAATATATCCTTCATCTGACAAATTCTGATTAATACCTTTGCAACATATTTTCTTTCATTGCTAGATCTTGACAAAGGTTTCAATGCTGGCCGGTTCAAGACAAAGACCACACCATTGTTGGCCGACTAACAAACAGAACTCTCTCCACTTCGGACTCAAGAGTTTCTGTCTTTGTTCGCTCCCCATATTTTAGGTCTATAGCCTTCTCACTTCAACACCCTTTCACCTCTCCAGTATAAGACTCCAGGCTTGACTCTCACATCTCGCACACTGAACATCGCTCCCACTTCCATCTTCCCCTCAATCCTTTACTTGATAGGCCATAGCCACTGGTGGTCATTGATCTCTATCTCATCATCTAATACCTTTTAAGATTGTTCAGATGTAAGTGCAAGTCTATACTTTATCTATCTACACTTACAATTTTCCAAGCGCTAGAAAAGATACTGAAGATAATCATACATTGTGTTTCCGCTTTGTTGTCTAGATCGTTGACTATTTCAGCTCATCTTCCTAAACACATCCTCTTTAGCTTTTATATTTCTTCGATTAGAGATGTTGGATCCTAGCGCGACAGGTGTGACAAAGCAAATGATGCTGGATTGGCTGCGAATAAATCATCCCATGACTCCGGTTTCGTCACATAGCCTCAAGGCCTTTGTGGCAGAGCTTGTACGAAAGAAACAACCTGAATGTGAGTATTCCTTTCTCAATCATCACATCTCTTTCTTCCTTGGGGATACTAACCACAATGTACTTCTTGAATACATCTTGGTAGTTTTTGCGGATCCAACAAGTGATGCGCCGGCCGTGATACCTGACGGTTCTCAATCCGATACGCAGAATCCATTCGAAACCAACATCACTGGTATTTTGTTTTCTCTTCTTAATCATTACATCTCTTTCTTCTTTGGGGATGATAACCACAATGTACTTCGTGGATACATCTTGATAGTTTTTGCGGATCCTGAAAGTGATGCGCCAGCGGTGATACCCGGCGGTTCTCAACCCGATACGCCGAATCCATTCCAAACCAACCACACTGGTATTCCTTTTTCTGTTTTTTAGTTTGATCCAACCCTCAAGCACATGTCCTGAGTCATGAACCTTGATTAGTCTTTTCGGTTCCTCCTCAAGCAGTCCTCGAGCCAGAAGTAACAGAACAACAGGCCCACCTACATGACTCCCTCCACGAGGTCCCTAGATCATCGACTGTATCAATACGTCCAGCCAAGAGATCTGGCTCCCCAACCTTCAGTGGAAAGCCTTCAAAACGTTCAACATTTGGTGAGTCACTTCATTTGGTGCCTTGTTGATATCGAGTTCGTAGATCTTAATTGTTAACCACAAGCTCGCTTGGCCAGTTTCCTCTGAAGGGGTCTCTCAATTATCAAATGCATCAGAACACCACGTCAAGCGTCCTGCATCCCCAACTACACACGAACCACTTCCAAAACGTGCCAATATTGGTAGGTAGTTGCATCTATAAATATCAGATTGAAAGGTTGAAGAGCGTCCATTCTGACCCGTGCGTACTATGTATCAGGTGATCAGGGACTGTTACCAAGAAAGCCATCAAAGAAAGGACGCAAGGTGAGGCTTCATACCATTAATGCAACTATCTCGACTGATGAAGCTCATATTCTTGCACCATCACACATGCAGACATTACGCCAAAGCTATCCTTCTGGTGGTTCAAGCAGGTCTGCCCATCGGGACTCATCTATGACGGCTTCATTGGTGAAAGGCTCAGATATCAACCTTTTGGACCGAGGCAGCGAAGAAGATCTCAACGCCTTACTAGGTTATGAAGTCACACCTATGGAGTCATCAAATCTTTTCGCTGTTGACAGGTTCAGCTCGCCAATGAATGAAATGAAGAATATAATCAACACACCAGAGAATCCTGGAACGCGCGACCTCATTGACTTCTCAAGTGTAGATTTGCTTTTGGTTGAAAATCTAGGTTAGTGTCCATTCATTTATTCATTTCATTACTCAAACTTTGCATAGTGATTTTTGTTTATTAGCAGTTATCACGCAGGACGCTCCCTTGAGTAAAATTCCAACCCTAGTCAAGTCAGGTGTAGATGCGTTCCAAGAAGAGAGACGTCGAGCAGAAACAGGTGCGCTGTTCAGTAGCCCTAACTCATGATACATCCACTGATACAAGCACTTGAGTAGTTTCTGAGCTTGAGAAATCGGTTTCTTGTCTATTGAATAGAATGGACCTGATGGAAGAGAAGTCAGCAGCTCACATTGTTGAACATGAACAACAGAGATACGAGCAAGGTGTGTTTCACCATTCCAAGTCGTTTGAGATGTCCGCTGACACGCCCCATCATGACCTTTGCAGATCATGCACTCCAGCAAGCTACTTGTCGACTTGACAAACAAGCAAAATGTATTGACGAGCTCAGGGACACGGTTTCCAGTTTAAAACAACAGCTGGATGTTTTACATCGCCGATTGAACAGAGCTGAGGAAGACATTGGGACACAGGAACGTTGCATTGTGCGATTGATGCAACAAGACGAGGGATCAGACGGGGAGGAAGCATACCCTGGAATTGACAGTCAATCTGACTATAGCGTTTAAAATATACATCAAAAGAGGGGGTTGACATTGTCCTGAATACGCTTGTTGTCTTGTAGTATTTTTGCTGACAAATTGTTCGAAGGTATAAGTACATTTTTCATCCTTTTTTGTTCCTCTTAGTTTTAATCTTGAAATCAAGCTTTTACATTACAATCAAGGAATTCAAGAGAGATACTAAGTGATACCTGACTCTAAATATTAGAATTCAGCTCTTGCTTGAGCAGTTGTGCAAATATGATGCGGAGAATTTTGTTGAGTCAAATAGAGACTGCTCTGTAGGCAGTTACAGATTGATTCCGATGATCTCAGTTTAGGAAATCTCAAGCCTGATTTCTGAGCTGTGGCTACAGTTACTGGTCGTAAGTAACATCACAGGGATCAATACAAATTAGGGCAAAGCCGGTTGCTTCCTGTGACACTGCAAAGTCTGATGAGTCATAACTCTGTAGACTTGAGTATGAATCAACACTTGATATGTGTACATTTCACCTCTGTAGTTGAGTGGTTCTGTGCATTTTTAAGTGCACTGAGATGCCGGAGGAGTACATCTTCCATACTGGTGCTCATTAGTGAACTGTATTCTCATTCAAAACAAGCATTATGATGAAATATCACATGAAGTCTGCATGATTTGACAGTGTGGGGCAAGCACTACAAACAAGTCAAGCTTCTCAGCAATACTATCAGAGAATCAATTCTCGTTTATGCTATATGAAGTCCAAGTCATATCTATATATGTATGTGAATCATTTACATTATACTTAAAGGTCTGAGCATTCGATGGAATAGTTATGAAGCCACCGAAAAGAAGCGGAATAAGAAGAGGTACAGCTTGGTGCAAGCACTGCAAGCTATAAGATTTACAATTCAGATTGATATATACTCAAATGTTTACATTTCACTTGAAGAATCTTCTGGATCGAGATACCTGATCAAATACCTGATCATATCTGCATGCAAAGACCATGCAGATATGATCAGAACGCCCCACTAGTCATCAATTACATTGTTGGGTATGAGGCTTTCTGAAGTGGCCCGGTGCCAAATTGATACTATAGTACGCAATCCCATCCCCACCTGATCACCTTCATGGGCAACTTGGACATATATGGATGATGTTCATACCTCTCTTTTGACTTCATTCCCCCAGCTCTCTCGAACCTAGCTCATTATTGTCAATCCTTGTTTATTGTAACTTGACGCGTTTTTAAGTCAATCCAAGTTCACAGAGATCATCTAGTCACTAAAAAACAAATATGTCACAGTCTACTCATCCTCATAGTTCACTGTTCTCTTTATTGCAAGTTTCATCAATGTCGAAGGATGCAGTTCAAGAAGCAGTTGAAGGTTTGACATCTTCATTTTTGCTTTTGCACCTTGAAATCAATCCCACGGCTGAGATGAAGTCTCTACTACAGCTGTTTTTAGAGACACGAATGACACACAGGTCGAAACTCAAACTGGCGAAGGTGCTGGTGCGGAAATCCAATTGGAAACTTCAGACATTGGCAAACTGGGTTCGCAAATTCTCTTTCTTCAGAGATCCAAAGCTCTCGCTGACATTATCCAAAGAACATTCAGCTAGCACAGCTGTAAATACTCAGATCGATGGTTCTGCTTCCAAGAAATCTAATGTGGAAGTTGGTCAACAAGACATAAAGAATGAATGCAAGGGTAAGAGTACGTTGCTTTGATTCTTTCCAAGACTGTTGTTGATGTGTTGATTGACTTTGATTGAATTGGCAATTGTATTGTAGACCTGAAATGCGGATCACAATTGGCTCATCTAGAGACCTCACTCGCAACGCTTGAGGAGAAAATTATGATGTATTCAGTCCAAAACTTACAAGAAAAAGTGCAAGGTATGTGGATTTTCAGAATCACTATGGACAATCATTGTGAAAGTTGACTCACCTGCCACGTCCGGGAGTGCAGTTGTCGATAAAGCGTTCAGTCTACTTGAAAAAGCGATCACGGATATCAAACGACTTCAAACTAAGGTTAATTTTTAGAGGTGGAGGCAATTGATCTGAAGGAAGAGTTGGATTCAGCTCATCACAAGATCAAGACGCATGAGAGGGTGATCCGAAGGCTTTTAGGGCCTGAGCAGGACGACCTTGTTCAACAATACAATTACGACTCGGATGACATACAATCAACCCAACCTACCGAGCCACAAATAAACTCTCCCACAAACTCCTGTGCTTGACAATGATAATGTAGTGGGATATGATGATTCATGACCCTCTTTATTGTAATCTACTCACATTGATATACTTCCGGTGTTTATGAGGTGACTCGAGCCAGGACAGTGAATGAAGTCACATTTTGATATGTGTTTTATGGCGCCTTATATGAGAGACATAGTCCGGGGAAAATTGGCTCAAGTTTCTTCTTTGAGTGCCACACAATTTATAATTGTTGTAGATGTCTGAGTTCTCCTTTATAAACTTTTTTTGGGGGAATCTTGATCTCGTTTTTTTGCTTGTTGTGAGTAGTATGTAGATCACTCTGGTGGTTTGATTGTGGTGATATATCCGCCAGATATGTCAACTGAGCTATGGACGTTCACTTTGATTGTCTGTACAACTTGTCTTCAATATTGATAATCAATAAACCGAGTTGAAGTGAAAAGCAGGACAGTTTGGTGCAAACCATACAACTGAGCAAAAAAGCGAGACTGATGGCTGTCGGGAGGCTAAACAGGATGATTCCAAGATGACACTGATACAACAAACAAGTTGTACAATAACTTTAGGAAAAAGACTACACGAACATATTGGGGCAAGCCCTACAAAGTAATCAAGCAAGTGGGACTGCTGGGGTTGTGAAAAGAGAAAGAACATCAATATGAAGATGAAACCACAATCATGAGGGGGTCCATAATTTCAGGGAGCAAGACTAAGAAAAATCAAAGTCGGATATCTCTAAATGGAATCAAATATCAATCACGGAATAGTGAAATCCCTCAATTAAAGTACCTGGTTCGACTGGGCCTTCCATGACAGACTTGATGTATAAATCAAGACAGATAGGACGGGTCATTCCCACAGAGTGAATGAAGACATTAGGGGCATAGCATTGTATAGCAAAGCGGAGGTGTTCGATTGTAAGTGTTTTGAGACCCGCGTGCTTCACAACACGAGGTTTTGCAGTGCATTCTCGTGATTTGGGTAGTACGAGGTCTGGATCGACATGTTGCTTGTAAAGGCGGCGGAACCCGTCGATCTTGGAGTCAGAAGGAATATGCAAGGCAGGGGCTCGGCGAATGAGTACATCTTTGAGCATACGTTGTGGTGATCTATTTATGATATTAAGCAAAAAAATTAATCATCTTTACTTTACCAGTTTATTAGCAAACTTCAATATAGCAGAGAATTCGAAATTCAGGTTTTCAGATCAATTGAAGCTCTTAGAGGCTTATGTATACTTATTAGCTCATTATTATGTCATCTTATTTCAAAATTATTATTAAGATCAACATAGTTTACTTACAAAGTTATTACAAAAAGACAGAAAAAGAAAAGATAAGAAAAATTCGAAAATATAGGTGTAAAAGTTGGAAAATGGTTTTTAGCTTATTTATAATTAAGTTATGGGTTTTATAAGGTTAGAATATGAAAGAACAACAGTTTATTATACAGGAACAATTTTATTATTCAAGGTTGATAAGGGGAAACAGAGGTTATTAGCAGAAAGGTACTTTTTCGAAGTTGGTAAACAAGGGTTAGGCGTGTAGTTTACATATGTAATGGTGGTAGTGATGGAATTTAAGGTTGCCAAGAGGATTTTCCGGGATTTTTAAGGTTATAGAAGATGATGTCATATTACATGATCAAGGAAAAGGGAGTAGCAGCTGTGAAAAGTGAAGAAAATAGGTGAAAATCGTCGAAAATGGAGGTTTTCAGCTAATTACATATGTCAAATGACGTCAGAATAAGTTGGTAGATGGCTCATTCAACGCAGAAGAGTGGATTACATAATGTACAACCTTTGAATCATTAGTAACGGAGGTGTATGTAAAAAGTTATAAGGGAAATAAGAAATTGGTGTGAATCTCGAATTTACAGTCACAAGACACATGTAACACCAAAAACCTTAACTTCACAACTCAATATCTTACTCATCACTCATCAGAAGTAGGTCTTATAGGTGTCAGAAATGATCAGTAACACGTGGGCTACAAGATGCACTTTAGTAATCAAAAATTGGAGCACATCTGAAAAAAAATCGTAATCTCAAAAATTGGGTTTCAGCTAGTTTACAAGGAAAAAATCACCTGTATTCATCTTAAGAAGTGCTGTACATTACATCATTGCGTCATTGATCACTTTTGGCTGTGAAAATTACATCATACATTAGTAACAAGATCATTACATTGCGTCATTACATGGTTTTTAGGGTTATTTAGGCGGATTTGATTGGTTTTTTGAGGCTGTTGACTGTTGTAAAGATTGTTACATTTGGATATAAGTACTCCTTGATGAATTTGGGATTGTAGCGCCCTTTTCTGCATCTTATACCTTTGTTGTAGTGTTATAAATCATCATTTATTTACTATATTTGTACTAAGATCACTTAAATCCGCCCCTTCAAAGCAAGGAGAAATTTATTTACGTGTGTTAAAGACTACAAGTCTAATTGGGAATAATACTTACAACAGTATTGCTAGTAATAAACATAGTGTGTGACTTTTTTGCGCTTAAAATCTGGGAATAATACTTAACAACAGTATTGCTTTATTTCTCTGGTGCCTTATCTATTTCTCTGTTATCACAAAGTGGTCAGCAAGTGCCCTTGTGCTGGTTTCTTTGAAGAAGGCAGTCTTTAGGCAACTTCTACTATATTACACGTAGTAGATTATCCCTTCTTAGGTGTTGTAAAGCTCTTGTTGAGCTTTAAATACTACATATTGGTGACTCCACTGGGGCTCTTTACTTTATACAAGCAAGATCCGTCAATTATATTTAATAATTTCCCTAATTATTATCTTAAAACATCAACAATTTATTATTAAATCATCAATAATCAAATTAATAATAATACAACTCATCATTTCGAAAGAAAATTATATTCAACAAATATCAACAAAATTCAATTAATAAAATTCAATATCAACTAATAACATATTAAATAACAATAATCAATCTTTAAAAGAAAGAATATAACTTAAAAACCACGCATATATTCACTTTTAATTCATTATAACTTTCAAAATTATCAATATTTCGAGTTTCTTTATTTTATAATATCATTTTATAATAATTAAAATCAATATCATGTCTTCAATCATTCAAATTCATGATCAAGAAGGAGGAGAAGAAGGGGATTCAGAATTAGAATTACCACCAACTTCTCATTATAAAAGAACTCCACGTAGTAGTAGAACTTATGCTTTAGAAAATCCTGTGAATTATTCAACATCTTTACCCTCTGGCTCTTTACCACCACCACCAGGACCTGCTTCAGGATCAACTGTACGTGGAAAACAACGTGAAGAATCAACTTCTGAGGATCCAATTCCACCTTCAGCATTTACTGGATTTAGAGAACAAGAAACATTATTACCCTCAGACCACGAGGAAGAACCTGATTGGCAACAACAGTTTATTAATCAACAACAACATTATTTAAGAAGAGAAAGAGAAATGGCGGATATAATTAATTTAATAAGACTTAAGGAAGAAAAAGGGAAGAAGGAAAGAGTTAAGGAAGTTATTAAGGTAGTTAAGAAGGGAAAAGGAAAGAAGATAAGTAGGAAGAAGGAGGTTATTAAGGAAGAAGAAAGTGATGGAGATTCAAGCGCCTCAAGCAGCTCAAGTGATGATTCAAGCTCAACTTCAGAAGAAAGTGAAGAGGAAGAAGGAAATGAGAGAAGTAGGAGTCATGTTAAACCACGGAAAATTGATAATTCTGATACAAGTGTTAGATTTGAAGTTGGAGGAAATGTTAAGAAATTTATTATCAATTATCATAGTCAAGCTGAAGCAAATGGCGCCTCAGAATTGGATATGGTCAGGCAAATTACCAGTTTTGTTGTTGGAGAAGAACTTAAGGAGGAAATACGTGATATGGAAGGTTGGGGAGTTGGTGAATGGAGTTGGAAGAAGGTCAAGGAGCAATTAATTGCCAGATATCAGACTACCACGGAACAGCCAAGATATTCTATTGATCACTTAAGAACTTTATCTGAAAGAACAATGAGAAATGGAGGTGTTACGTGTAAAAGTGAATATCAAACATTTAGAATTAACTTTGATAAAATTCATCAATACTTGGCTAGACATGATTACGTGGATTCAAGTGATGAAGAAGTAGCAAGATATTTCTATGAGGCTTTTTCAGATGAACTTCAGAAGAAATTTAAGAAGAGGATGATGAAGAAAGTATCAAGTGGAAGATATAAATTACCTAACTTAGAGAAATTAAAGAAGGTGGTTGATCATTATATTGAAGAAGAGGTGCTTTTGGTATTTGAAGATATTGGAGAAGAGAAATATACCATCAAGAATGAAATTGCTGGAGTTAAAAGTGAAGTTATTCAAAAGGATACTAGTAGTAAAGTTGCAAAGATTGGGGGAATGCAGGCTAAAGCAAATCAACAAATGGAAATATTATGTACTGATTTAAAGAATTTACAAATAAATCACGTCCAAAATCCTTTACAGTTACCTTTAAATAATTCTTATAACTTTCAGATTCCAATTTCAAATGCTTTACAGAATCAAATTCATCAACAAGTTGTTCCAAATCAAAGGAACAATGTTCAATATCCGCCAAATAATAACTCAAGGCCTCAACAATTTAATAATAACTTTCAACCCAACAGAGCGCCTAATAATTCAAATTTTAACAGGTTTAATAACAATAATAATAATAGACCTGTTAATAATCCTTTACCCAATAATAATAATCAAATTCCCGCCATTAATAATCAAAACTTTATGCCTCAACAGAATACTATGCCATTTTGTTCTTATTGTAACATGGAGGGACATAGTATGGGAAGGTG